GTTAATATAATACGACGCAAGATTATGGTATGTTTTATTTTTTAAAATGTGTTTTTAATTTATTTCTTAATTAACCAAAAATTTACAAATTAACCTAATTAATGTTTTTATTTTGTTTCTTTCCAGGTTTGGCCTTGACGGATGTGTCACTCAGAGCGTCACGGATTGTATCAAGGGATACTTTCCCGATCCAGCTCCAAACTGGAAAAAGACGTCCAGCCACACAAAAAAAAACGTGGTTCAAATCGTTCGTTGTAAGTCATTAATTAATAAACTTAATTTATTTTTAATTGTTTAATTTTTTTAATATCATTGAACTAATTACTCTAGTTTTTTCTAGTTACAGCAAAAATTTCGTTGGTCTATAGGGATTCACCAGCGGGTGAAGACGGAGTTTGAGGCAAAGACAAAAGCGCGATTTCTCGACATGGTCTACAACTGGAAGGGCGACTTTCAGGTGTGGATTTATAAATTATATTATATATATATATAGTTTTATATCATTGACTTTAATTCAAATCATTTTATAATTATTTTTTGTTCACGTGGATGGTTACGAGGAGGGGAAACCCGATTGCCTCACATTCGACGTGTTGGATGACGTCATCAGATATTGGGGGTTGCCGGACTCGGTCAGAACCTCCCAGACAAACTCCGAGAACCGCATGACAAGAGACGAGCATGGCAACACGTAGATGCTTCACACCGGGAGTCGAAAACCTCACGGGGGAATCCGTCTAGACATGGTAAATTAATTTTTAATAACTATTTAATTTTTACTCTATTTGTATATTCCTAATTAATATTTAATTTTAAAAATTATTTTTAGGGTAAAGAGACACGAGTTCTTCCATCTCTGAAAGAGCTTTACGAGAGGACCCACCAGAATAAGGTTGGGCATTTTGTAGATCCTAGATCCGAGAGGATCTACAAAGAGGTTGTTGCTCGGATTGACCAACCTGAGACCCAGCTAACTCAGCAGTCTGGGACACCAGTCATATTATCCACTCTTGAAGTAGATAAGATTTACGAAGAGGTAAATAATTTTTTTTTCTATTAATTTTTATTATTTATTTAAATTTTTGTTAATGTTATTAATCTTTTTATTTACAGGTCGCCCCTAGGAAAAAAGGACGTATCGTCGTGACTGGTTTTGTTAACGACGTCCCCACATCGACATCATCTTATGCTCAGAAACAACACGATGTCACTGCCCAGCTGCGCTCGGCGTTGCAGACGACACAGTCTCATGTGAGTTCTCTCACCAATGTCCTAGACGTTTTGGCGATTGGAAACCCGCAATTGGCGGAGATGTTGCGTGTGAGACGGGAAAACGGAGGGTTTCCAACCCAACAGCATCATCCACCGTCATAGTCACAGCCGACAGAGGAGGATTTGGTGAGCCGGGACGACTTCGCTCGGCAATTTAACGAGCACCATCCGTAGTTTTTATTTATTTTTAATTGTATATTATGAATTTTAAAACTGAAATATTTAGTTATTTATAAAATATTTTGTTATTTTTATTTTATTTATAATTTGGTTTTTTTAATTTTTTAAAAATATATTATTTAAATTTATAATTAATATTTTTTTAATAGGGAAAAACATTTCGAAGTAAACTCTTCGTAATATATTCGAAGTAATGTCCTCGTAAACTTTCCTAGTAAGTTCCTCGTAAAGCATTACTACGAGTTTACGAGGAAATGTGTTACTATGACTTTACGAGGAAACGTGTACGAGGACTTTACGAGGAAATACGTATCCACGCGTTTACGAGAAAAATTTTCCTCGTAAATTAGCTAGGACCTTACGAGGAATTTTTTTTTACGATAAACGTGTTCCGAGGAAACGGGTTTCCTCGTAAATTCTTAGTAAATGACCATTTACTAGGAACTTACGCGGGAAAGTGATCCTAGTAAATGACAAATTTTCTTGTAGTGTGTTATTAAAATTTGGGTTTATTTCTATCCCATCAGATTTAGGAGTTATTTTGGACTGGGTTCAAGATCCATGAATCCTCTACACGAAAACCTAGTGAACCAAAATAGCATTGCCCATATCCGACCTGAACCGGTTATGGTTTGGGTCTCCGAATCCGGATAAAAATGTTTAATCCTAACTACTATAATGGAATATATGAGAACTTAAAAGATCTCTAGATATAAGAGACTGTTGTTAGCTAAGTAATTATTCTACTACATGATGAGTAAACTTTAGTGATCAGTTGAGATAAAAAGAAGATAAATATATCAAATTTATCTATATGTAGTAATTAGGGGTGGGCATAGATTAGATAATACCACAGTTTTATTGTTTATGATTTCTTTCTTAGTTTATAAATATCTTTTTATTTTTTTCGAAAAATACGGATAGTCGATATTTGGATATCCAAAAAAATTATAGATTTTCGTGAATATTTACGAATATCTCATCTATTCTATTTGATACAAATAAATTTAGAAAAAAAATTATAATTTTTTTTCACAAGATAACTTTTACAAAGTATAAAAAATAGTTGAACTATATGTTCTATAAAATTTCAAATTAATTAAACCTTTTCTAATACACAAAAGTTTGGAAAATAGTAATTTTATTAAGGCTGTATAATCCGTTTTATAAGTAATTTTATCAAGAAAATTAATTAGATTATATGTTAAAATAATAATTATAGAAATTATATATTTAAAATTATATAATTAACTGTAGATAAATATGTAGTTGTATAAAAGCGGATCGGAGCAGATATTCATCTATAAAAGTTTAGTATTATGAATTTATTTTTAACAGATTGACTTTAATATTTACTCTATTTCGAAAATTTACAAATATCTTAATTTTTTTAATTAAATCAAAATGAATAATAAATCGAACCAAATTAAATTTAATGGATAAAATGTCAATAGTTCTAGTAGCAATAATAAACGTGGTAATAACCAAAGGTCCGTATGTGTAAACAAGTCAGTTTCATGGGACCACGGTATTATTTCCAAAATGGACCGATTACATTAAATGTTGTCTGTAAGTGAGATGTGAAGAGCTCCCTACCAATCAGACACCTCCATGCCTTATGATTTCTCTAGAATTATTGGTTTCGCTGTGATAAATGAAACTGTCATATGTACTTCACTACTCGTGACTAACTTACTGAATCTCCCTACCGATTTTGTAATACTAATGGGATTGAGTACCAATAAAATAAAAATCACATAAAATTCAGACCCTAAGACAACATATACTATAATCTGAAAATGTTGACTAGGATTTAATTTGACTTGAGTTTTAAATGAGAAGAATAATAAAGTGTAACAAAACGAGGTTGTTGACGAATTTGACGCAATAAGACAAAGAAGACGTTCACGAGCTTTCTCTTTAGTAATCAAGAAATGGAGGTTCATTGAAAAGGTTTTGTTAGTTAACGGACCTAATCTTTATATTTCATAGCGGTTATAGTTGAAGTCGTCATTTTCAGATATTAGTAAACTGGGACAAATAGATTTATAGTGATCAAATTGGGCCCAAGTTTATTCAATTTAGGACAATGTATGTCGCCATATTTGTCTCTGTCTACCCAATTCTGTATTCGGCTTGAGTTTTCTTGTAATTTCTAACAAAATTACAAATTTGAATTTTGTATTAATGCAAAAAACAAAAGTACCCTCAAAACAAAATATTTGTAGGAAAGAACAATATTTGAAGAAGCTTATGTATTTCCTGAAAAAAGCAAGAAATTAATTAGTAAAAAAGGCCCACAATATATTTTACGGGTGCAAAGACATAAAAAATACAAAAATAAAGGGATCAAACAGGAATAAAAGAATATTTTGGCCCATCTCTATTCGTCGGTGACGTGAAGCTTCCCTGCTGGAGAAACGCTCACATGCGTAATCTCAGCTATATATTTAGGACATCAACACATGTCCGAACACAATGCACTTCTATATCTGTTTCAAATTCAAATCTGCTGTCCTTTTATCTTAATTTTAAAACTGTCAGATTACTAATTTTTATCTCCTTGTTAAAATCCAGAATATATCACAAGTCACAATAATACCATCTATATATCTCGATCTCTCCTGAAGAAAAAAAATTGGAAACCTCGACGAATCGGTCTGAGCTAAGACAAATAATCCGCCATTTTCTCCTCGGTCACTCTGCTTATCTCGTCAGTATCGGATCTGGGTCTCCTTTTCTTTCGTTTCAAGGTACAACAACAAGTTTCAAATATTTTTCAATATCATTCACACCAGTTTCGTTCAGATTTTAGAGTTCTTTTTTTTTTTTGGTTTTCTTCCATTTTTTTTTAATTGAAAGCAGAGTATGTTATTCATCCATCATTCATACACTCATCACTCAGTAATTTTGAGTTAATTTCTGGGTTCGTAATAAATTCAGTGAAAATTATTTAATTCATTTTTGTTAATTTAAATGTATTCCCCCCTAAGTCACGGCATCGAAAAAAACGCAAAAACACAGCTGTGTTCCTTGCTTCATGCCCTAATATTAAGTAGCAATACAGTATATATTTATTTTCATAAAACATTTATTTTCGAATCAATGCACTATAAAAGTTACCTACTTTTGACAGTAGTATCTGAATAAAAACATAAACCAAACTTCAAACTCTTTCTGTCTCTTTAATCCTCTAATCTAGTCTCTACTTTTAATGTTTTTTGCCTTTTATCTATCTATACCACGTGATTTTTGCTTTGGTAATTATCCATATTATGCATTATGATAAAGCATTAAAATATTTCCTTTATCATTATTGAAAAATTAAAGTCTGTGAGTTTGTTTTTGCAGATTTTTAGTCATTTCTGGAGAAAAGGCGTTAGCTGTAATTCATTTTATTTATTTGCTTTGGCTATTAAAGGCGGCACAAGCCTATGTGTGTGTGTCCTCTCGTCTCTACTTGGGGACAGATCTTGATCTTGGTTACAGAACTTCTGTTCTGGTCTAAACTGTGAAACTCACTTTTGAATCTCGTCCTGTGTGACATTATGGGGATGAGCCTCGATTTTGATGTTGATCTCGAGAAAGGAATCGTTGATTGCGACAATGTCTATACAAAGTCGCCGGAGAAGCCATTGTTACCGATGTCTCCAGATAACAAACCGGTGAAGACCGGAGAAGAAACTGTCGGTTCTTTAGAAAACGATGCAAGTCCGGTTAAATGTGCCATCAGTAAACCGGGATGGGGCAAGAGCGATAGGAAGGAGAAACGCAAGAAATCGGCGTCGAAGCCTCCTCGACCGCCGCGTGGACCGTCCCTGGACGCAGCGGATATGAAACTGATAAGGGAGATCGCTGAGTTAGCGATGCTGAAACGCGCGAGGGTTGAACGTTTGAGAGCTCTGAAGAAATCGAGAGCGGCTAAAGCTGCGTCTGCGGCTTCTTCTCTAGGCAATGTCTTGGCAACGCTTCTCACCGCTATTTTTTTCTTTGTCCTCGTTTTCCAAGGTGTGATTTGATTTTAATCTTGCGATAGAGACTGCGTTTGCGTTTTGGTGTTAGTTCAGTTGATCTTATTTGTGTTTTGTTTGAAATATTCAGGATTGTCGCCAAGAGCAGCCGTTAGCTCCGGCACCGAAAAACACAATGGTGGTTTCGTTTCGGTTCAGTATGCGGGAAACCCGTCTGCAAGCGAACCGGATGGAAGTTATACCGGTCCGGTTTTAGCAAGGAGATTGCCGAAGTATGTTATTGTTTCTCTTGTATGGTTAAGAAGAGCAATCATTTGTCCATGTCTGAAATAAATCTCTAACCGCTATTTATTTTACTCGCAGTTTACTGAAACCGGTTTCCGGTTTGGACAATGAAAAGAAGATGAATAGAGTTTCACAATGAAGCCGTGAACCAAAGGGATAGAACTGGACAGGTTCATCACTGGTTGGTCTAACCATTTACCGGTTTAGATTGTCGGTGAACCATATACTCGTACGGATAAAGTTTTTGGGTAAAATCGGCTGCTTTCTCTGCGGCTATGAAACAATAACTACGGTTTTGTAATTTTCTTCTTGGAGTAAAAATAAGAGAAGTTACAAATAATAAAATTACAATTGTGCTATTTAGCGCATGTAACTTTTTACATGGTGGTACTATAAGTATACTACAAACTAGGATCGTATTAGTAGTAGATTGTTGTATTGTAACGGAAGTAAAGAAGTATTCAAACTTTGATGAGATCAAAACCTAAAAAAAAATATGAAATCATCATTATTGGTATAGTTATTTATATTTGAAATCAAATGGTAGTGATGAAATTTGAAATTAATTATTTAAATAACAGAATCCATGTGGCTGTATCTAGACACTCCCACTGAGGTTAGAGACCACTTTTAATGCTGTACAAAATTAATTGAACATGTGATTTCACGTGTGTGTATATTTCAAATGTCAATTATTTCTGTTGCGTTGCTGTCTTCGGATGCTTCGTGGTCCAAATATTAAAGCCCCATTAAGTCACCATATAATCATATACTAGACCATGGGCGGGTGTTTTGTTTTCTTTTAATTTTTAGGTTTATACTAAATGATGTAAAATAAAAAATGAAGTATCAATTAAATGGTTACAGATTATTTATGGGTTTAATTTTGATAGAAGAATACCGAAAAGTTTGATGTTTGATCCGCGCAAGTGTTTGTTTTTATATATTTTATAAGTGATAATATATATTTCTAAATTTACCCGTTTAAATAATTGTTTAAAATGACATTTCAAACACACAATTTTATAGTTTATATTGAGTAATTTTATTTTATCTTATAAACTATCATTGTGTCATACTTATTTTTAAAATATGACCCGTATATCTGCACAAATGTTTTTATTTTATTTTTATGGATCAAAATTTTATGATAATGTATAACTAATTTTTTTTATTTACTATTTAAAATATATGATCCTATATATTTCTACTTTTTAACTTTTATTATTCTGAATTTACCTTGAACTATTATTTATAAAAAAATATACATAACATGATATGTTTATATTAATCTTTTTATTATATATTAGATAAATGTTTCTTTCTGTGACTTTTATTTTAGTTATTACTTATAAATAATAAAAATATAATTATATATCTTTGAAAAAAATATTGTTCTTTAACTATTTAAAGATATGTAGATAATTAATAAGAAAAAAATCCTAAAAGGTAAGTTAATTAATATTGGAATTAATTATTATGTATATGGAATTAGTAAAACAATTTCTATATAATTTATTTATTTAATTACGAAAGGTATATATGAAAATAATTATTTTCATTAGTTATTGTTGCAATAATTTTTTTAGTTAAAATTTGATTGGAAATGCATTAATTAAAGTGAAAAGACAAAGAATCCTATAAGGTAGTGTAATTAATAACTTCAGTGGCATAATATTGTAAATAATTAGAAAAACTCAGGGGTATTTTATATGGGTACTTCTCTTTTAATAATATAGATACTCCTTAAGTAATACCCATCCGTTTCATATTAAGCGACGTTGTAAGGAATTTTTTTTTGTCACAAAACAAGTCTCATTTTTTATTTTCAATTCAAAATTTATTAATTTTATTATGTAATTTTTTTTTATTTAAATATTTAGGTGTATAGGTAATTATGTTTTTATATAGGAAATATGTAAAATTAATTATTTATTTAATCCGTGTGCATATCTAAAACGACATTTATAATGAAATAGAAGGAGTAAAAGTTTAAGAATACTGAATTGTAAATTAGTTACTCCCTCTGTTTCTAAATAAAAGCCATTCTACCATATTTTTCTTGTTGCAAAATAAGTGTCACTTTATTTCCAGTGCAACTTTTTACATAAAATTTATTTCTTGTCCTATTATTTAACCAACTAGATTTTGACCCGCGCTTGAAAGCGCATAAATTTTTTATAACTAAAATTTATATAATTGGGTTATGTCTTAATTTAAAGAATGTTTTGGTATAAAATCAGTTTATCAAAATTTGTGGTGACGATTTTTTTCATTAGTTTTTAGTTTCAGTTTCTATTTTTAGATTTTGGTTTTTAAGTTTCTATTTTTGATTTTCAGCTTTTGTTTGGGTTTTTAACTTTTAGATCCGATGGGTTATGTTTAAACTGATATTACCAACAAACAAATTTCAAATAATCTAACATCTAATTTAGAACTGAAAAGATGACAATTTTTTTTTTAAAAAAAATTGCAATAGTTTACTTTATAAATAAACAAAAGCAAAAACTATAACAATATGTTATCCAGAACAATGCGTTTTCAGCTTTTGGTTTTGGGTTTTAGTTTTTAGAATTAGTTTTTGGTTTTGCTTTACATTTTTTTTAAATCAGTAAATTATTTAAGAAAAATAAAACAATAAATTATTTAAAAGTTACCATTGAAATTTATCAAAAAAGTGATTGTTATTTAAAATTAAAAATAAAATAACATGTTTTAAAGTACATGATTTAAATAAATGATTAATAATAGACAATTTTGTTTTGTTAAAAATATTAAATACATTTGGGCCTGAAAATAATAATTGATTTTTTGATCCATTAAGATAGAAATTTTATTCAATGTTTTTTGGAGTTTTTCCTTAATAGTAAGCCTAAAAATCTAACCATATAATTTGTCATAAAAACAAAAATAAGCCCAAGACTATATCCCATAAATAACCATCGGTTTCATTTAAGTAATGCGGTTCAATTAACTACTAGGTGACCAGCCCGCACCCTGTGCGGGTATATACAGATTCAAATTATGTACTTAATAATACAAAGTTTTAGAAGTAATAGATTTTATATCATAAGACCACCGTCTTTGAAGTAAAGCATCAGACACAAAAAAATGCTGGTACACAATATTTTACATGGAGGAGATGAAACAAAGTAACTTCAATATCAATAGGTAGTTATTGTGTGTTTTTATAATTGCAACATCACAAAAAAATTGTGTGTTGAAGTTGAATTTTATTTTCCAAATCTGAAATTAATAGTGTGTAGTTTTATAAGTAACATATTTTCTATTATCACTAATTAGAATTGTATTGTATATGTGTTGTAATTCTTAATTTTAGGTGAAAAATATTATTATGCATAAATTTTTCGTAAAATGTATGTAGACAGATTAAAAGAAATGTTACACATATCCCCCTCTCTCTCTCTCTCTCTCTCTCTCTCTCTCTCTCTCTCTCTCTCTCTCTCTCTCTCTCTCTCTCTCTCTCTCTCTCTCTCTCTCTCTCTCTC